ACATCAGCTCTATAATATATACTACCAGTATTAACAACACTCTTCTTTATTAATTACTTTTTCGTTTAACGGTGGAAGAAACGTGTAGCATTGTCACCGGTTCTCTTACTTCTTCAGTGGAAATTCGTTAGCAATGGATGATCAGTCCAAGATTAGAAAGTCACATCAATTGTCAGGATAGGATAATTTCTCTTAACAAATCCTGGAGATTAGCAAATGCAGTGTCCCAGTAGCACTTGGAACTTGAACCCTGTAGAAAGTGAACAAAAGTTTGCAGTTTGTTTTGTATTAGCTTGCATCTTTGTCCCTTATAAGTGCGCTTAGTGCGTTTCTCAGGCGGCTACAGTGGTGTTTCCAAGTGGCGGAAAGCATTTACAACACAATAGAACAAATTTTCTTAAAAGAAAAGTCCCTGGGTTTGTCTTCTCAGCCGCATTAACTGAGGCGCGAGTGAAATAGACAGACAAGGCCCTGGGGAAGTGTTTGGAAAATTTACACAATACGCCGTGATGACGTCACACGAAGGCGTAAAACAGGTTGCAGCTGGGCGTCACATAAGGCGTGATTACACGTGTAAGGGTGTGGTCAAGGTGCGATGAATAGCAAATCAAGTGTATTATGTGGCTAGGTAGAGTCTCAGCATTTTGATAGTCACGTGAGCTGAACACACCTAACAAGCAATCATAACCTTTAAATAGAAAGAAAGTTGGAATTATTATCATTGCATTGCTTGATACTAAGCAAAGTTGATTGGTATTATCTAAACTGAACAAAACCGGCGGGGAGCAGTTTGGCGATTGGATTTGCGAATCAGTTAGGTAAGACATGTATATCACATTTATCGTTAACACTAGCGTGGATGATGACTTAAATATCATTACTTACTGTCGGCTAAAGATACTACATATCAACAATAACAACTCTGGCGGTTAATACGTGGGAGTAACGAATAAGGAATTTACTTAATACGCAACTTGTCTACAAATGGGGCTTTCAAACAGGGAAATGGGAAAAGTGAGCTGTCAACCCAGGTACTGAAAAAAACTTAAACCACATTTATGCAAACTTTTTAAACAAATCTCTGCCGGTATAATCTTTTGATAATGTTCCGAATATAACAATGAAATTTTTGTGGTTGTACAAAAACAATGACCACGCGAAAATGGCTTCAACTACAATGCTGTCACTTGATTTAGCTTTATTTTCTTGCTCTAGATTTCTTTTTTAAATTTATTTAAGTCATGTGACCTGCTGTGGTTATGTCGCTTTCCAATGCACTTGAAAATGAAACTGCCAATGGAGCATTTTGGCTTCACAAACTTTATGCTCTCCCTATTAATGCCGACCATTTAAGAAAACAAGTTGGTTTGTCAAACGCCTGCGGATGTGCCTTCGAACACTTTTCCCAAACGCCGCTTCCTGTGCGAATTAAAGTGCTTTCAGAAGCTATCGACGTGAGTTGAAAAATATTTGAAGTGAATGGGTACGTTTGAAGGAGGGAATATGCACGTAAACCAATATTTCGTAAACTAAATAAAACCTTTCGTGAGCAGGGCATCTCTTCTACCGTGACGTAAACAAAGTCATTCAGACGTTTTTTACTGGTTTAATTATCCTTGTTGTCCAATTTGTAATTTGGAAATGATGACTTTGGACTTCCTTTATGTAAATTTTAGTTTTCCGACGTAAGGATTAAGTGGGCATTGTAAAACACATGGGCGTGTTGACCACAAATAATTTCTGACCCCATTGGGTCATCTCTCCATTGATGGAATAAAATACAAAAAGTCTCCCCATTGATGTAAGAAGAATCTTTGTTGGTAAACATAACTCTAAAAGAGCCGTTTATGAAGAAAAACTCGTCATTTAGAGCCTGAAAGTGAAACTGTTAGTCGGAAACAGCAATCCTCTGCTACCCAGAATGTAGACATGTCTATGTATTTGATACTCTCAGCGCCCGAGGTGAGTCGTTTGGGATAGATTTCGCCATCCCTCAACCCGTTGAAATTATTTTCACAATGCACAATTATCAATTGAATTAGCTTCACTCCTGGCTTCACTAAATCAATGAACCAAAATTTAACAGAATTTCTCAGCTCAGTTTATACTAGCAGGTGCAGAAATGTTATCTGGAGTGTTTCGCACATCTAGCTCCCAGTCACAGAGTATAGAGGGATCCCGTCAGTAATATTCTACTGACGCACAGTCTTGACAATTTAATTAAATCTAGACGAAAACAAGTTATCTCTGGCCACGGTTGTTTGTAATCAGATCGTCAGAGACGTAGTTCAACACACCCACAATGCTATCTTCATGACGATCAAGGCGGATCCCTTCAGTATGTTATGATACTGCTGATACACAGAGCGCTAGTAAATTTCCCGCGCATTTTTGCTTCCTTTAGCTCATGAACGTAAACCTTTTTACCTATCATCACCATGTTTTCCAAATGATTATTATGTAGACGTAGCTTCTTGTCTACTGCGTCTTTCAATGTGACCCGACCACCGAATTATTTCTTAATTAATTAACTGGAAGCAATTCAATATATTCCATTACTAAACACAAAATATCTCTGTCACCTCTTCAGTCGCACAGGGTCGATAGACGGTTTAAACTTAATTATCATTAGAAATCCAAATGGCCTTTTGCCTCACGTGACGTAAAGAGGACTAAGCAAATAAGGAACTCTTAGACCTCAAATTTCCCACACGACTAATCCGTTTTGGGTCACGTGCTGCGCTCATTAATTTCAGTGATATTCACGATCACAGGATTATATTAGGCAGACAAGTAATTCAATATTTTATCGACAGCTAAAGTTTTCACCGCTATTTTTTTATTAGCTGTGTTGGATCAATCTTACGTGATAATACCGAAAGGAAGTATGGGTACAACAAGATCGATGAGATATAGACACGTGGTTTCGTACGTTTTCGTTGTCTTCAGAAGTGTGAAAAGAAGGTACTTTTAGCCTCACTTGAGAAAAAACGAATATTCCAAGTGAATATCGTTATAACCTACACCAAGATTCGGTCTTAGCGTATAAGATTGAAGCTCTTATCCCACAAAATTTGGTTACATGCTATGGAAACGTGGTTGCAAGATAACGTGGTAACATAATATAATTACAAGGTTAACATGATAAAATGGTAACTTGGAAACACGGTGTGGCAAAATGGTAACAAGGTAACATAATGGCACAGTAACATGATAACATGTCAACATGGTGACAGGATCACAAGGTGACATGATAACATGGCAGGAATGGTAGCTGGCAGCACGGTGACAAGGTAACATGGTAATACGGTAAGACAATAAGACAATAACATGGTAACGTGGCAACATAATACCATGGTAACATAATAACAAGGTAGCATAATAATATGTTAGCATGGTAGCATGGTAACATGGTGACATGATAACATGACAGCATGGTGACATGGCAGCATGCTAACATGGTAAAACCATAACATGGTAGTATGGTAACATAGTAGGAAAATAGCATAATAACACGGCAATATGATAACATGGCAGCCATGGTAGCATGGTGACATGGTAACACGATAACATAGTAACATCGTAACTCAATTACATGGCAACATGATAACGTGGTAACATGATATCATAGTAACATAATAACATGGTAATATGGTAACATAGTATAACATGGTAACGTGATGACATGGTAAACCGATAACAAGGTAGAATGGTACCATGATAACATAGTAACGTAGTAGGACCATAATAGCACGGTAACATAGTAACATAGTCACATGGTAACACGCCAACATGGTAACATTGGAACATGGAACAGTCAAACAAGACGTAACGGGGAAACTTGAAGGCCGGAAGATTTCAGTGGAAAATACACGGACTGTTCACGCTCTGGGTGCAGAGTGATTTTTTTGTTCCGATAGACGGTACCCTAATCCACTGTTGTCCATCTTCCACGAAAGAAGACGTTAGGAGATGGACTCTGGGAGGCTACCTCATGCAAACATCAAGAGATACAAGTAAATAACCAGGCACTTACAATACAAACAAATCTGACACAATTAGTGCACGCGCGCTACGTAACAGAGGTACCCTAAGGGTGAAGCTTCACACAATAGAAAAGTGTACAACGCTGAAAAAGTGCTTAGCGGCTTAAAACGTTTGCACGTTGTTTTGTTCACTGTTGGGCTAAGCCAATTGCAAGTCGGCAGCTTGTTTCACTAGGTTCTAATTTACATCGTCTAATGCGTATTGATTTCAGATCCCTACCGAAGTGAGGCAAAACGTGTAAGGCGCAAGGCGGGGTCTTTTTAACGCCCCGTGACTACCGCTTTATTGTGTAACTGAGTCAGAAAAGAGGAGTACTCATATAACAGTAACATATGCATTCCGCTGTGGGAGGAAGTGGGTGAGAACTGCAATATATGGTATTTTGGTTGGCTGGAAGACTTTACAAAAGCATGCAGAAACGCGTTGTTAATTTGGAACGTGACAAAATAAACAATAATTTGGCTTCAAATTGTGTAAGATTCTTACGATCCAAAGCTCCATCAAAAACTTCTGATCATAATCCTTCTTTCCTTCATGTATATCACTCCCCAACCGAGAAGAAATTGCGGCAAAGGTTTACTCGAGAACTAATTTTACTGTACGGTTTCTTTTGTACTTTAGCGAACTTGTGTTCACACAGGAAACCGAGCGTTTGCTGCATGAACCGACATACATTTAAAAGGTGATGAAAGTTACGTACTGCCCGGCTTTTAATCACGCTAACGTGAGCCGCTTCTGTAATTAACAGATCACGAAAATATCAATTTACACTAGCGGGTAGGTAAACGAGCCAAGGAGTATATCTACTCCCCCACCCTGGATGGTAAGCTAGTCCATCGCAAGGTTACCCTCCAACATTAAATTCGCCGGTACCCATCTATACAGCTGAGTGAAGAGAGGCACTGTGAGAGTAAAGTGTCTTCCTCAAGAGCACAACACAATGTCCTCGGCCAGGACTCGAACCCGGGCCGCTCAATCCGGAGTCGAACGCACTAACCACGTGGCCACCGCGCCTCCCACACTAGTAGATAGTTTATTGAAAAATCTTCCTGTATTAAAGTACGAAAAATCAGACAAGCAAAAAAACTACCAAAAACAAGTACCCAGAGCTACAGGAAATAAAATATAAAAGCCAAAAATAGAAAAGGGAGCCTTGCCAAAACGCAAAGGCAGGAACTCTTTAAGTTCGGTGATTGGTCAAAAGGATTTTCTACACTACAGGTACTGAGATGTTAAACTACAACATCTCATAAAGGCAGTAGACTAAATATATTTTAATAAATAATTTGCCGGCAGAATGAGCTTCTTAGGATCCTGGAAAAACACGCACAGTTTCTAGATCACTTGCCATCGGCTTATGCTGTGGTTCGCCCAGCGCGTGATTATGACACCGATAAACCAAATGTTTTGTCTACTTCATAAGAAACGTAATTCGAGTATAACTCCGTTAAATGTTTCTTAAGCTGCAAACCCTTATCAACAGACTCCTAAATGGTACACATAAAGTCCCACAAGTGGTCTTCAAAAACTCAGTCATTCTGTCGCGGTACGGAAATTGCGTTTTATTTTGGAGTGCGGAAACACGACTCCAAGCCACAGTGTCTCCGTAACTTCCCGGTGATAAGATTAAATGTCTAGGTGGGTTAAAAGGGTTAAAGAGACAAAAGAAGAGCTTATCACATCGTGGTGGGCAAAGCAATGTTGCAAAACCACAAGTCGAGGACGAGAAGAATCATTTGTTCCAGATAGGTTCAAGACCAAGAGGAGAGTTACAATGCTGTCAAGTCCGTATAATTAAACTAGTGACTTGCAAGTACGGTACAAGCTAAAGAAAAGTGCTCTGGAAGAGAATCTTCAAACTGAGGTGTAATCGCGTGTCGGGTATAGTTCCATCGACCAGTATCAAGCAGAAGAGATCCTATTAGGTAATTCATTCTTCGACTTCTTGCGGTAATAGGATAGATAAAAAAATAAAACACGGAAGAAATTGGCCGTTTCAGGGTAAAAACCAATGCCAAATCGGAACACGTAACTCACAAAACGCTGCCTGTCATAGAAACCTCATCAGTGGGCGTGTTCGGCGAGAAAGGCATCGGCGCCATTACATGCGTGACATTATAGAAATACTGGACACATTGACTGAATGAACTATTGTTGTTGTAATGGTTAACAAGACGTTTCTAATAGTTTAGAGCCATAATTTTGCGTGCAAACTTTGCACACACTGGTCACGCGATAAATCGAGAGTAAACGTGGTATTTCCGTGAAGGATCCAAGGGTAGTGGGTGGTCCCCAAACCGTCCTTCTGGTTATCAAAACACGAAGGACGTTTTTTTTTCCTTTTTCTTCGATGGAACTCTGTGGTTCTGGTTAACGCAAGTTCATGCTAGCACGCTAATTTCTTAATTGTCATCCAATACTATGGCAATGTAAATTTTTACTTACGAAAGTCGTGTCCAAAAACTAATTAGCTCCTATTCGGGTCTGACCACAATCAAGCTCGTAAGATTGCTCAACTTGACAGGCCTCAAGCACTGGGTGCATGCAGTAATAATAATCGTTAGCATTTAAAAAGATTGATTATGAAGCTCACGGATGTGATGTTAAGGAAAACAGGCCGGGAACTTACTTAAAGCGGGTATTGGTATTAGTGTTAATTTGAAGTATACCTCCATCGGAGCAGGATAAGGGCATGTAGTTCATTTACCTTCTTGACATTCAAAAAAGAAGTCCAGGTCCTTCTCAGTTCAGAGAACAAGAGTGCGAGTTTCTATTTAGACTGGATGTATACAAAACTTGTTTTGAAGTTCTTTGTGCTTCCATGTTTTGACAATTTACTTTCCAGATTAAATCTTAGATAATAAACCTCTTTTGTTAGTGAGCAATTAGCTGAGCTATTGTGTCCTGCAGGTCAGTTTGTGTCGACTGCCACTACAATAGCTTCTTTGAAGAGCCTTTCGTTCAACCGTGAAGCTTAGACTGCTAAAAACTTCTATAAGCCATACGTAGTCGGACGCAACTGACATCCTTCTTACCCTTGGGACAAGGAATTTATGGCGTACGCCGTCTAAACGGGGCTCACGTTCCAATCCGTTTAAAGGAATCCTACATAACATATCTTCACCGCACTCGAGGTCAAATGCACGCGTAAAGTAAGCAGTCTTCATACATCTCGTTTGAATGTTGGTTTTTCGAAGGTAAGTTGTAATATCACGAGGCTCCAATCGGTACGCAATTTCAATATCGTTATCGACAAACAACGAAACTTCTTATACTCAGTATGACAAGCGTTAAACATCGTCGTTCTCTGCCTGACAGTACTGCTTGCATAATCGGTGAAAATGTCAGTGAACAGAAATATTCTGCTTGCTCTGCGGACAAAAGCGCAGCAAAGATGCAGATACCGTATCCACAGAGAATTATTAAACAAAGCTTTGCATGTAGCTATACATCGCCACTGGAGCGTGATTTCATTTTGTCCTTGGGTAAACGGATTTGACACTAAACTTCATTAATGCAAGTCATCTGTAAACAACCTTGTAATTTCCAAATTCATACGAAGTTAATGGTTGCTAGATATGGTTTATTTGCGACCAGAGCGATGGCTCCGAGCCAAATACTACAAAGTGTCTAATTATCAAAATTTGCCCTGGGGTTACTGTTGAACTTTGCAAGGGTAGTTTGTTTAGATTCAGTTGTATTCGCGGAAACGCCAGACAACACGTGCTTGTACCAGTGAAGATTAACACGTGCCTAACTTTGTTTTTCAGCTTTCACGGTCAGCAGTTTCATCTTCAACAAGTTTCAATCAGCGGATAATAAAACAACTGAATGTAATCGCCGCACAAGATACAATGTTTTCCAGCGTTGTTTGGAGTTTGCTGTTTCTGTCGAGCACGTCATGGGTCGTTATGTCTCAAGGTGAAGGCCAAGAAATGAACACATGCCCAACAGAATGCCAGTGCACCACGATGAACAAAGTGTACATGTACTGTGGCTTCGCAGGAGGACTCAAACATTTGATGATATTTCCGTCCTTCATTCCCATTAAAGCGGAAATTCTGTCACTTCGAATGAATTTGCTTACGGAGATACCGGAGAGTGCCTTGAGGAATTTAACGTGTTTGACGACCTTGAATCTTAGATCCAACAAATTGCGTGATTTGCCAGCGACAGTGTTTCGTGACCTGACGAGCCTCAAATCTTTCAACGCGGGTTTCAACAAGCTGTCATCGCTACCAGGGCGCCTATTTCAGGGGTTAAATGCCCTCCAGGAGCTTTATCTTGATAATAACGCAATTGAGCGAATCCCAGAGGAATTGTTTCAAGATCTGCCGTCCTTGAAGCGATTACATCTCCACCACAACAAACTCAAGACATTTTCCGGAAATGCTTTTCGAGGAACGTTTTCATTGCAAGGTCTATCACTCGCAAACAACCAATTGACAGCTATTCACGAAGGAACATTTGCTAATTTGACCTCGCTCAGAAGACTAACACTCACAGACAACAGGATCATGACCATATCGGAGAACTCGCTTAGAGAACTTGGTGCTCTAACGATCCTCCGACTAGAAAGCAATAATATATCATCAATTCCAGAACGGGCTTTCGCTGGATTAAAAACAGGAATAGTCGCTCATCTTAGACGTAATCCCTTTTACTGTGACTGCAAATTGCGGTGGTTAAAAGGCTGGCTTAAGTCCAAGACAAAATATATTCATTCCATCGCTTCTCGTACAACATGTTTCCAACCAGATCATCTGAAAGGGAAACCCATTCTTTACGTAGCCGATGAGCAGTTTACCTGCGTGGACGGTCAGTGGACCGAGTGGAGCCCATGGAATGCTTGCAGCAGGACCTGTGGACGCGGCACGCAAGTCTCGACAAGGCGCTGTACAAATCCCCCACCAGGGAGAGGTGGGGAGAAATGCGAGGGAAACCACATCAAGACAAAGAGCTGCAATGGCCCAGACTGTGGAGCGAGCTGGACGGCTTGGTCAGAATGGAGTGAATGCAGCAAGACTTGCTCTTCAGGAATTGAAGTGAGGACTCGGTCATGCCAACATTCTCTCACTGGGTTGAGCAGTGATAGTTGTATAGGGTCTCCCCAAGAAAGACGTATTTGTACCAGAGAACCATGCAGTATTGATGGCGTATGGAGTTCATGGTCCAAATGGTCATCTTGCAGTGTAACATGTTCTTGGGGGACAAGATTAAGGACAAGAATTTGTGACAATCCACCACCTAGATATGGTGGAAAACCTTGCTTTGGAAGAGGCATTACAACAGAAATATGTTATTTAGGTTCCTGTCCAGTTCATGGTGGTTGGTCTACCTGGTCTTCCTGGTCAAGCTGTAGTGCATCATGTTCAGCTGGTACAACAACAAGATATAGAAACTGTAGTAAACCTGTTCCTCGGTATGGTGGGGATTTGTGTGATGGAGATTCAATCCAGCGGGAACATTGTCAGTCAGGGTCGTGTCCTATCCACGGAGGATGGGCATCTTGGTCAATTTGGTCCATGTGCTCTGTGACATGTTCTAGAGGATCTCAACTAAGGCTCCGAATTTGCAATAACCCATTACCTCAACATGGAGGTCAAAACTGTCCAGGAAATTTTTCTGATCTTAGACACTGTGACCTTGGTCCATGCCCTATTCATGGAAACTGGACAGCCTGGTCTCAATGGAGTGACTGTAGCAAGACATGTGCAAATGGGACAAGATCTCGCAACAGAACTTGCAGCAACCCTGTTCCACAGTTTGGTGGCAGAAATTGCCCAGGAGAAGTGACTGAAATTAAATCATGCATCAAAGCACCTTGTCCCATTCCTGGCAAATGGGCCACCTGGTCACAATGGTCAAAATGTAGCAAAAGTTGCTCTAGTGGTAGAAGGTCTCGAAGACGAACTTGCGATAATCCTTCCCCAAGCAATGGGGGTCCACCCTGCACTGGAAGGGCCACTGAAACTGAGATGTGCCAGTTAATACCGTGCCCTATCGATGGGGGGTGGGGAGAGTGGTCTAACTGGACAGATTGCAGCAAGACTTGTTCTGAAGGAATACAATCTCGATACCGGAATTGTAACAATCCACCTTCACAACATGGAGGAAAACAATGCTCTGGAAATTCTAACCAGAGTAAACATTGTAGCCAGCAACCTTGTTTTATACATGGAGAATGGACAAAGTGGTCAAACTGGACAGACTGCAGTAAAACATGTGATGTTGGACAGCAGAAAAGGACAAGATTGTGCCTCAATTCAAATCTTAAATCTGTTGCACAGGCAAGTGACATTCTTTCCTGTGCTGGAAATGAGACTGACATGCGGGTCTGCTTCCAAGGACCTTGTTCTAATCAAGGCAAATGGACTGAATGGTCAAGCTGGTCTCAATGTTCTGTCAGCTGTGGACTTGGAAAGCAGGAAAGGTTCAAGAACTGCAGTAGAAATGGAGACTTAAGTACAGAATTTTGCCTGGGTCCACTGATGCAGGTAAAAAGTTGTTATCAAAACTGTACAGTGAGTGGTGGATGGAGTGAATGGTCTAATTGGACTGCATGTTCTTCATCATGTGGTAATGGAGTCCAGGCAAAATTTAGGCTTTGCACCAACCCCAAACCTCAAGCTGGTGGTGACAGCTGCTCTGGCAAAAATGTCATGTTTAAAAGTTGTGTTATTGCCAAGTGCAGAGATGAAAGCCATCAAAATGATTCCTTCTGGACTCCATGGACAAGCTGGTCTCATTGTTCTGCAACTTGTGCTAGAGGATACCAGACCCGTTCACGGTACTGCAGAAGACGACTGAGCCCATTTCATCTCGGAAACTGTACAGGCATTAAGGGACCAATTCAAGTGGAGAGTAACATCTGTGAGGTGCAGCCTTGTGCAGAATGGAGTAGTTGGTCAACATGGCAAACTTGCAGCCAGACATGTGGCGGTGGCATACAGAGGAGAGTAAGAAAATGCAAAGGCTCGATAATTGATATGGATTGTCAAGGAGAAAATTCACAAGCTGTCAGTTGCAACACAGAACCTTGTCCTACAATCCACCCAATAACTTATCCCCCTCGAATTACTCTAAGACCACCAGATCCATGTCCTGATCCTGAAAAACCACAAAATGGCTATTACAAGAAAATTGAACAGTACGGTTCTTACTATGTTACCCATTATTGCAGAAGACATTATTATGTTCATGGACCAAGACTGCGGCACTGTGAAAGTGATGGCACATGGTCTGATGAAGTGCCTTACTGCCTCCCTATATGCGGAGAGTCTAGTTCAAGTTTTGACAACGTACAATATCAGCGGTTAAGAATATTTGGTGGTGGTACATCTCTTCCTGGTCTGTGGCCATGGCAAGTGGCATTGACAGTTAATGACCTTTTTCACTGTGGTGGGTCCCTTATTGCAGAAAGTTGGGTGGTGACAGCTGCTCATTGTGTTTACAACAGACACACAAGGAAGCTTTTCTCTCATATTAGAGTCAATCTTGGAGTTCATGACGTTAAATCTGGACTAAGAGAACCTTATGTTCAAAGTATTGACAGTATTGAGATAGTGCCTCACCCAAACTTTAACTGGAACACTTTTGACTCAGACTTAGCATTGATAAAACTTAAATGGAAGGCCAACATAACTGACCATGTACGCCCAGTGTGTTTGCCAAGCAAACAGCAGAGACGTAAAGTAACTACTGGTGCTATGGGAGTTATGTTAGGGTGGGGACTCACTGAGGGAGAAAAGCCAAAAACAGAATTACAACAAGTTTATATGCCAGTTGTGGGACACTCAAACTGCCAAAAAGCTTACAAGAAAGAGACTTGGCCTGTAACATCAAACATGCTCTGTGCAGGATATGCTAGTAATATTAAGGACTCCTGTAAGCGGGATAGTGGGGGAGGGTTTCTATTCCATGATTCAAAGGGCAAAAGGAAGAAGTGGTTTCTTGGAGGGATTATTAGTTGGGGAAATCCTCAATGTGGGACACCTGGAAAATACAGTGTGTTTACTCATATAAATAGTAGATTTTCAAGGTGGATAAAAAATCATGTACATTACAGCTGAAATGACATCTAATTTATGAAATCAAATGGATGTGTTACTATCATATGTGAACACAAAAAGCATGTTTGAAGCATTTGAATAGACATTGACATGATAATTGTACCACAACCCATTAGGTCTTATATAAAACCACACTTGACCATTTACAGGTTTGCAACTTAATCATCTAACATCAAGCTGGATTCCCTTGTGACAAACTAAGTTACATTTAACCATAATTCTAATTCACACTATCCTGAGAGATTCCCAAACTACTATAAGCCTTTTTTAAAAGACACAACATTGAACCATTGACCCTTTGCGTAAATGGCACCTACATTTGAATAACAATACTTTGTACATACTAAGCCTTGTGTTTATGTTTCCAGACATAGCACTTTTCACATGAATGTGATGCCTAGGAGGTACAAGTATTGTTATTCAAATATAGGCGTCGTTAATGCAAAGGGTCTATCCAATATTTTATTTTTAATTTATTTTTAGGCTTTCATATTATTTATATTTGAGACATTTTTACACTGCAAACAGACAACACTAGAGGAGATACATTTTTAAAAACCTTAAAATGAAATAAAAATCTTTAATTTATGAAATAATTAACTTGTAGAACGTGAATCACTTTTGGACACAACCTAAGATTGCAGTTCCCAAATAAAGGGTACCAACGATCTTCCTTTTGGCACTTACTAATGCCGCTCAAGTTACTGAAATTTATATATGTAAACCTAAGATATTTGTCAAATTAATAGTAGTCAATGGTGATTTTCAGTTCATTGGAAACATATATGGAGTGGCTCAAGTTTGTCAATTATATTAACTACTTATTAACCAACTGTGAGGTCTTAATGAGAAAATCTCAGACTGAGACCTTGCTGTATTGACCAAGTGATAACAAGGTCAATACAACAAAGCCAAGGTTTGAGATTTTCTCATAAAGACCGAACGTGTGAGGTTAATAAGTTGTTTATTATATGACTTTTTGCTTTGTTTTAGCAGGCCCATAATCGGCCCATGAGCATTATGGGAGAATGCCCTAGAATTAGCCAATCAGAGTGTGTGTTATATCAATACAAACACAAGCCATGTAATATAAAATAATACAGTGGAACCTCGATTTAACGAACAGTGTCGGGTATAGTTCCATCGACCAGTATCAAGCAGAAGAGATCCTATTAGGTAATTCATTCTTCGACTTCTTGCGGTAATAGGATAGATAAAAAAATAAAACACGGAAGAAATTGGCCGTTTCAGGGTAAAAACCAATGCCAAATCGGAACACGTAACTCACAAAACGCTGCCTGTCATAGAAACCTCATCAGTGGGCGTGTTCGGCGAGAAAGGCATCGGCGCCATTACATGCGTGACATTATAGAAATACTGGACACATTGACTGAATGAACTATTGTTGTTGTAATGGTTAACAAGACGTTTCTAATAGTTTAGAGCCATAATTTTGCGTGCAAACTTTGCACACACTGGTCACGCGATAAATCGAGAGTAAACGTGGTATTTCCGTGAAGGATCCAAGGGTAGTGGGTGGTCCCCAAACCGTCCTTCTGGTTATCAAAACACGAAGGACGTTTTTTTTTCCTTTTTCTTCGATGGAACTCTGTGGTTCTGGTTAACGCAAGTTCATGCTAGCACGCTAATTTCTTAATTGTCATCCAATACTATGACAATGTAAATTTTTACTTACGAAAGTCAAGTGTCCAAAAACTAATTAGCTCCTATTCGGGTCTGACCACAATCAAGCTCGTAAGATTGCTCAACTTGACAGGCCTCAAGCACTGGGTGCATGCAGTAATAATAATCGTTAGCATTTAAAAAGATTGATTATGAAGCTCACGGATGTGATGTTAAGGAAAACAGGCCGGGAACTTACTTAAAGCGGGTATTGGTATTAGTGTTAATTTGAAGTATACCTCCATCGGAGCAGGATAAGGGCATGTAGTTCATTTACCTTCTTGACATTCAAAAAAGAAGTCCAGGTCCTTCTCAGTTCAGAGAACAAGAGTGCGAGTTTCTATTTAGACTGGATGTATACAAAACTTGTTTTGAAGTTCTTTGTGCTTCCATGTTTTGACAATTTACTTTCCAGATTAAATCTTAGATAATAAACCTCTTTTGTTAGTGAGCAATTAGCTGAGCTATTGTGTCCTGCAGGTCAGTTTGTGTCGACTGCCACTACAATAGCTTCTTTGAAGAGCCTTTCGTTCAACCGTGAAGCTTAGACTGCTAAAAACTTCTATAAGCCATACGTAGTCGGACGCAACTGACATCCTTCTTACCCTTGGGACAAGGAATTTATGGCGTACGCCGTCTAAACGGGGCTCACGTTCCAATCCGTTTAAAGGAATCCTACATAACATATCTTCACCGCACTCGAGGTCAAATGCACGCGTAAAGTAAGCAGTCTTCATACATCTCGTTTGAATGTTGGTTTTTCGAAGGTAAGTTGTAATATCACGAGGCTCCAATCGGTACGCAATTTCAATATCGTTATCGACAAACAACGAAACTTCTTATACTCAGTATGACAAGCGTTAA